GGGGTCTGTTCTTTGCATAGCTCTCGCCTCCCTTGGTTTGTCCACCTTCCCCGGGAGGAAGGCAGGGTCTCACCACTCCGCTGTGTGCAGGAGGCGGGTGAGCTGGGGAGACCCAGTGCCCCTGTAGGTCATCCAGCCCCGAGAGCCGGAGGGCAGCGCCTACCAGGTCTTCTGTCTCCAGCTCGTGTTCTTTCCACTGCACTCCCCCCAGAGAAGGTCTGATTTCAGTCTGCCCCTGCTTTTATTCACTTCTTCAGGATGATGAATAGCAGTTCTTTTTTTTAATTCTCACCCGGAAATATTTTTCCATTGATTTTGGGGAGAGTGGAAGAGAAAGGGAAAGATGTGAGAGAAACACATCCATTGGTTGCCTCCTGCAGGCGCCCTGACCAGGTCCTGGGCCGGGGAGGAGCCTGCAGCAAAGGTACGTGCCCTTGACCGGAATCCAACCCGGGACCCTTGAGTCCGCAGACCTATGCTCTGTCCACTGAGCCAAACAGGTTAGGGCATAAATAGCAGTTCTATACATACTTGTCTTTTTTAAAACCAGCTTCTTACTTGAAATTTACATAAGGCTCTTAACCAATGTTACCCCAATAAGTTTAATTTAATATGAATAATTAGCCCTGGCCGGTATGGTTCAGTTGGTTAGAGCGCCGTCCTGTACAGCAAAGGGTAGGTTTGATCCCGGTTGGGGCGAATGTGGGAGGCAGCCAATCAATGTTTCTCTCTCTCCCTTCCTCTCTGTAAAACTAATAAAAAAATAAAATAAGACAATATTCTTTAAAATATTCATTAAATATAAAGGAGGAAATACACCTGAAATTTATGTAATGTTTTTAATCAATGTTACCTCAACACATTTAATTTAAAAATAATTATTAAAAAAACCCCAGCTTCAACAGATCCTAGATGTTGGGATAGCTTTAGACTCTCCGTGTGTGCACAGGCCTGCTCACCACCACGCTCTCCGGCTGCCACCTGCACAGGCACAGTTCATCTCGTCTCTGGTGGAGTTGGCTGTGGGATGCTGGGCAGGATACCTGGTGCCCAGAACGACTGCCAAAGGTGGAGGGCTGTGACGAGGGCCGTGGTCACCAGGACTTGGCCTGGAGAAACCCCAGGACACCGGGAGAGTGGCCACATCACGGTGGGGAGCCCTTTAAGGACATCTGAGCTGACACCCTGTTTTGAAAGAGGAGCCTCCTGACAGGGCAGCCACGCCCATGAATTTAATGAGTTTCACTGAACTCCTCCAAGGAGCACAATGCCCTGAGGAGGGACAGGGACCTGGAAAATCTGGTCCCTGCCTTAGGGGGTTTCCCAGAGAGAGTGCCCCAAGCCCCACTGCCCCACACCATTAAGAGTGGTTAGCGCTCTGGGTCCGGAAGGAGGTGTCAAGGGATGGGGGCTCCAAAGACTGGCGAGGGCAGTGGTTAGAGCCCGCTTTGCAGTGTCAGGCCTGGGTGTGCGTTCACCTTCTGCCCCTTGGCTGCCTAGCCCTGCTCTGCTCCGTTTTCTCATGGGTGGTTCTGAGTGTTAAAGAGAAGAAAGTGCCTCCGTGCCTGGCAGGACGACTGGCTCATGGAAAGTGAATGGAAGCTCTTTTTGTGGGGAAAGTGGGACGCAGGCTCAGGAGGCCAGTGTCCCGGGTTCGAATCCCAGCCCTGCCTCTTGTGGGCGTGCACCTTCAGGCCGTTCCTTAACCATCCGGGGCCTCAGTTTTCTCTCCGTGAATTGGAGGCCATCACAGTGCCCTGCTCAGGCTGCCGCGAGGAGGAAACCTTTGGCACAGAGCCCAGCATTACACACGTGAGCGAGGCTCACAGAGGGAGCCTGTATTTCTGAGAGCCAAGCTTTGGGTGGCCAGGCCGCTGTGGGGCGCTGTCCCCTCCTCCTCTTGGTCCCACCCTACAGATGCAGGTTTGGGGACAGCATTTAAACTCTCAGAAGAGCATTTTTCCTTTGGTTTATTTTGAATAATCATAATTAACGTTTAGTTAGCAAATTGCATTTCTCCTTGTCGCACTGAGTGTTTTAGAGTGTTAGACCCAGGAGCCCCCTGGAGGCCTCCAGCCCGGCTGTCACAACGGGGACAGTGAGGCTCTCAGAGCTCAGAGGTGGCTGAGGAGACCGCCTGCGGCACCTGGTGGATGCTCTCTGCCAGGTGACCTGACGTTCAGTCTTTCCCCTGCTCACCCAGCGCGGGTCCACCTTGTGTTGTGCGGCGTAATCACGGCGTCAGTGTGGGCCCCTGAGAGCTGGTGGAAGGACAGCTGAAGGCGTGGCCTGTGGCCGGTGCTGGAGGGTGTGGGCGAGCAGTGCGGTCCACCAGATCCGTGCAGTGTGCGGGGTAGCTGGGAGCCACAGGAGCCACAGGAGCCACTGAGTGCTTGAAATGTGGCCAGATGCGGAGAAACGGAATCCTTTTAAAAAATGTTTAATCCTCACCCGAGGATATTTTTCCATTGATTTTTAGAGAGAAAAGGAAGGAGGGAGGGGGAAAGAGAGAGGGAAACATCAGTGTGAGAGAGACACATCGACTGGTTGCCTCTTGCAGGCACCTCAGCCTGGGCCAGGGTTTGAACCTGCAACTGAGGTACTTGCCCTTGACCGGGAATCGAACCTGAGACCCTTGGGTCTGCAGGCGGATGCTCTGACCACTGAGCAAACTGGCCAGGGTGAAACGGAATTCTTAACTACGTTCATTTAAATTCATTTAAAGGTAAATGCAGCTGGCCTCCTGTGTCTGGCAGCTCCCCTCAAGGGACAGTACAGTCTGTAGAAGAATTTAAAAACTGGAATTCCTGGGAGCTCTCTGGGGACTGCAGTCAGCTTTTAAATGGAGGTGGGCCTTGGCATGGCCCAGGCCGGCAACCTGGACCCCTTCATTGGGAGGCCGTGTGCAGGGCTGCAGGCTGCTCTCTGCTTGCCTGCTTTTAGATGCAGATGTACTAGGATGCGCTTTGAGATGCGGGGCCGCTGGGCCAGGAAGCCTGGAGAAGGGCCGGGCCTCCAGTAGACATGCCGGTGATGCTGGTGGAGTGGGCCGGACTTCAGGACGCTGTGGGGTTGGAATTGCCCCCCTTGGGCTCTGTCTTTGGGCTTACAGCGGAATTAATGGAAACAAACCCAATTTACAGCAACCACATTTGGAGGGAGCATTCTGGAACATTCCATAAAACGATGCGGTGCCTGGGGGAGGCTTGGCCTTTGCAGCTGGGAGAGCCTGTGTTGGGCGGCTGTGCTCATCCACTCTCCAGGCTCCTGTAAGTGGGCCAGGCAGCCGCGTCACCTGACCAGCGCCCTGGTTTCCATTAGGCCAGAGAGCTTTCTCCTGGGGGCAGGCTCCGCCGGAGGGTCCAGCCTGGTGACCGCCCTGTAACCTGCTGCCCACTTGCTCTTTCTTTCACTCTGAGAGGGTCCTGGGGAGGCCTCCTTACAGCCGAATCACCGAGGAAGCTCGTTACAAATGCAGATAGACTTCAGGGGGAAATCACCCACAGGCAGGTTTAAAACATTTATGAGGCATTTGGGGAAACTTGAATAGTCCCTTGATGGTTAATGATATTAAGGGATTCATACTATATTTTAGGTGAGATAATTGTTTGTGTGGTTCTGTTTATAAAAGGAGTCTTTACCTTTTATTTATTTATTTTAAATATATATGTATGTACGTATATATATATAATTTGTTTTTCCTTGAAAAGGAAGGGAGAGGAAGAGCGAGAGAAACATCAATGATGAGAGTCATTGATCGGCTGCCTCCTTTACGCCCCGCACTGGAGATCGAGCCCACAGCCCCAGCATGTGTCCTGAGCGGGAATTGAGCCGCGACCTCCTGGTTGACAGGTCAATGCTCAGCCACTGAGCCCTGCCGGCCGGGCAGGAGCCTCCATCTTGTAGAGGGAACGTGAGATGTTACGGACGCTAAGCTGTGATGTCTGACGCTTTCCTCAAACGCTGTGGAATGGGGAGCGGGTGGGGGCAGAGGGGAACCAGAGTTGATTGTTTGGAGCTATTTGGGGGGGGGCGGGGAGTCATTTCCTTTTTCTCTACTCACATAACCCTTTGATGTTTCCACAATTAAAGAATAAAAAGGAAAACTGGCCTGCTGGGAGCTGAGAGCCACTCCTCAAGCAGGGACTGTGGGTGTGTGTCCTTTCCTCCGCCTCCCTGCTCCCTGCTGCCCCAGGACCCAGTGCAGTGCTGCCTCCTGCCTCCCCCCACCCCGCACCCCCCACCTCCCACCTCCCGCCTGCGGGGGGCCCAGTCTAACTGCTCCTACCCCGGGGCCTGGTGGCTCCTGTTCTCTCAGCCTATCAGACACCAGTGTTGCGACTGGTTCTTGCAGTTGCCAAAATGTCATTCAGCGATAACCATCAGGAAACTTTGAAAGTTATTGCTCACAGGATCTGAAGATGCACAGCCAGCCTCCGTGAGGTCAGGGGTTGGGAAGGAGGGGGAGCGAGCAAGCTGGGGGGCGAGCTTGAGCGTGAGGCTGTGCCGGTTCTGCTTTTATTGTGTTTACTGTGGTGGGTGATGAGGTAAGAGGGCGAACTTAAAGTTCGGAGAGAAACAAACAAGTGGCTCGAATGGGTGTTTGAAATCGGTCAGATCTCTCAAACAAAGGAGCCTGGCGGGCGGGGCTGGCTTCTCCCTGCAGCCACCCAGCCCGCTGGCATCTGGCGGCTGTTGGCAGCGGACGCCTCCTGGAAGCGGGTGCCTTGGCCGGCCAAGCCCAGCCAGGCGCTTGCATTACCGCATAGACTCTTCACCTCGTCTGTCTGATCGCTGCCTCTGGCCTGGGCCCGGCCTGGGCCTGGCACCACGATCTTGGTGGGTGTTGTCACAGCCCCACCTATTTCCTTCCCCCTGGCCGGCCTGGGCCCTGCTGTTTGTCTCTCATTTGTTTGGCTGTGTGACTTCAGCCTGAGTCATGACCTGCTTCTTGCATCACTGACTGCTGAGGAGCATCCTGCTGGAAGCCCCACTGGCTGGCCCTGCTGCTGGCGGGGAGGGCGGCCGGGAGGCCTCTGGAGACGCCCGAGCTCCGAGCTCCTGTGGGCAGGGCCGCTGGAGACCGGAGTGGGGCTGCTGAGCCGCCTGCTGGGAGCTGGGAAGCGGCCCCTCTGGCAGGATGAAGCTGTTGGCCTGGGCCCTGCGCCTCCGCCTCCCCGGGCTCACCGGGCGGGCACCTGCCTGGGAGCGCCTGGGGCCCCGGAGCTCCGCGGGGCTGCGGCCGCCACGCGGGGCCTCCGTCCGGGCTTTTGGAAGCAAGTGTGGACCTTCTGCCTCTGGAAGGTAGGATGACGGGTTCACTGCTGTGCCCACGGCGATGGCGGCTCCAGCAAATTCTCCCACCTGAGGCGGGGGTGGGGCCCCAGATCGATGCCCGTTTGGCTCAGTGGTTAGAGCGTCGGCCCACGGACTGAAGGGTCCCAAGTTCGATTCTGGTCAAGTTGTATCCAGCACATACCCTGGTTGGGTGTTTGTGGAGGCAACCAATAGATGTGTCTCTCTCATGTTGATGTCTCTCTCTAAAAATCAATGGGAAAATGTCCTCGGGTGAGGACTCGCAAAAATAAATAAGTATGTACAGCCAGCTCATCAGAAGTACGGGTGCTCCAGGACCTGTGACTGGCGTCCAAGGTGGGGGTAGTCTTGTATGACTAAGCCCTTCAGCATGGAGTCTGTGCTAACGCTGGCTCCTCATGTCAAACTGCACTGAATTGTGGGACACCAGCTGGTGGCTTAGAGACTCGGTTGATGTGAAGGGAAAATGTGCACAAACAGGAATGGAATTGCTGGGTCACGTGGTAATTCTGTGGTGAAGTAAGAAACATTCAAACCTGTAGAGAATTTTTTCAGTTTATTTGAGCCAAACTGATGACATGTGTCAGGGAGGCAGTTTTTGTTGTTGTTTTTTCTAATATATTTTTATTGATTTCAGAGAGGAAAGGAGAGGGGGAGAGAGAGAGAAACATCATTGATGAGAGAGAATCATGGATCGGCTGTCTCTTGCACACCCCCCACTGGGGATGGAGCCTGCAACCTGGGCATGTGCCCTGACTGGGAATCGAACTGTGACCTCCTGGTTCCTAGGTTGATGCTCAGCCACTGAGCCACGCCGGCCAGACTAGTTTCTTTTATGTGTTTAATTTAAGGAGGGAACATAGGAAGGTTACATGAAGCGGGGAAGCAGGCAGGAATTGGAGTACTGGGTGGTTAACAAGTTGAGCCCCCTTGAGGGTCAAAGGTGTGTTAACCTAGCCAGGGGTGGGCAAACTTTTTGACTCGAGGGCCACAATGGGTTCTTAAACTGGACCGGAGGGCCGGAACAAAAGCATGGATGGAGTGTTTGTGTGAACTAATATAAATTCAAAGTAAACATCATTACATAAAAGGGTACGGTCTTTTTTTTTTAAACATCATTACATAAAAGGGTACGGTCTTTTTTTTTTTTTTTTAGTTTTATTCATTTCAAACGGGCTGAATCCTAGAAGCACAAGAACAATGGACAAGGAGTTACAGGCCTGAGGCTGCCTCCCACCATGACCTGCCCGCTGGAAATGTATGATAAGATCTCTGGAGGTTACTTTTCATAGAACCTGTTCTTTCAGCCCGTCTGTGTTTGCCTTTTGAAGAACTGCCAGCTGTTTCCCAGTGGCTGCTCTCCTCCACGCTCCCGCCAGCACTCGTTGGTGTCCGTCTTGTGGTCCAGCCACCCTGGCAGAGGGGAAGTACGTCTCATTGTGGTTTGGCTTCGAGCTTCCCTGATGACTAACGATATTGCGTATCTTTTGTAAGCTCAGGGGCTCTTTTTACGTCTTTGGAGAAATGTCTGTTCAGACCCACCTGTTCTCACTTGGCGTATTTGTCCTTTGGTTACCGGAGACCACCGAGTGGGCTCGGGCTGCCTGTCGCAATGTCCGACACTGGAGGCAGGTGCAGTCATACAAGGCGCTTATTGAGAAGGCCCGCCAACCAAGAAGCCAGGGCGCTTACAGGCATTCAGATCCCGTCTTCCAGCAGGCGCAGGGGACAGGGTTATATTGGGGAGTGGGTAGGGGAAAGCTGGGAACGGAATGCGGTTACAAGCAGTCCTGGGGCCAGTAGAATCCAACCATTGTTCCCGGTTGTCAGGTGATGAGATGAAGGCTTGGCTCCTGGGGGGTCGGCCTGACCGTGCGTAAGGTCCCGTGTCCATTGTCCACAGCTGAGTCACCTCCTCCATCGCTTTGCTTGGGATAAAGGGGGTGTGCACTGGCCTGAGAAAGGAAACTCAGAAAAGCTTCACCCTGTTAACCTAAAAAACCATTGCAACCTGTAAAGAATTGTTGTGAGTTTATTTGAGCCAAACTGTCAACATATGCCGGGAAGCAGAACCTCAACAAATTGAGATAGTGCTCCGGAGAATGGCGGGTTACATCCGTATTTATACATTTTAATCAAAGGAGGGACATAGGTGGGTTTCATGAAATCCATTGGTGGTAGACTAGAGGGGCGGGAGCAAGCCAAGTGGGGAAACCCCTGGGATTGGATAAAAAGTAAAATGATGGACACATGCTTAGGTGGGTGTAGGAACAATTAACATGACAGTGAAGGGATTTGTGGTCTCTGTCCTGGCGCCCAGCACATTAGGTTGTTCCCCAGGGGCTCCAGAAAAGGGGAAGTTACAAGTGACCCAGACATTTCAAGAGTATGTTATCATAGATGCAAAAAGACAGACAGGCTCAGTGAAGGTCAAGGTTGACCTTGTCAGTGAAGATACCGGCGTAGGACGTAACTGCCCACCATCACTGCTTTTAAGGTTTAATTTCAGACCATCCTTGGTGGTGACTTTAGGTCTGAGTTTGCAAGGCCGCCATGCAGGCCTCCCCTGAGCTGTCAGGTCAGCACGTGGCCCCTTTTGTCCACAAGCCTCTGTTCCCAGAAGGATCTGTGTTCTAGGACTTAATGTGAGGATTTTCCAGGTGAATTCAGGTGCTCTATTAGGTTATAAGGCCCCCGTCACTTTTATTTTGCGTTGTAGGAGTTCCTTCTATAGAGCGTACGAGATACAAGCTTCTCAGATGTATGATTTGCAAAGATTTTCTCCCATTCAGTGGGCTGTCTTTTTTTTTTTTTTTAATATATTTTATTGATTTTTCGCAAAGAGGAAGGGAGAGGGATAGAGAGTCAGAAACATCGATGAGAGAGAAACATCGACCAGCTGCCTCCTGCACACCTCCGACTGGGGATGTGCCCGCAACCCAGGCACATGCCCTTGGCCGGAATCGAACCTGGGACCCTTCAGTCCGCAGGCCGACGCTCCATCCACTGAGCCAAACCGGTCAGGGCCAGTGGTCTGTCTTTTTACTTAAAAATTTTCTTTAAAAAATTTGTTTCAGAGAGGAAGGGAGAGGGAGAGAGATAGAAAGTCTACTCAACAGCTGTTATCACACATAGTTACCCATTTTTTTCTCGTGATGAGGACTTTTATTCTCTGAGCGACTTTCAGATACGCACTCCAGTATTACTGACTGGTCACCGTGATGTACCTTAAGGCCTCGTGATTCCATTATCTTCCATCGGTTCCCTCAGCCACCCACCCGGCCTCTGGCCGCACCGGTCTGTCTCTAGGAGATGGTTAGTTTTTAGTGTTTGTTTTTTAAGATTCCACATGTAAGTGAGATCTTAGGTTGTCTGTTAATGGAGGGGAGAGGGCTTCACCACTCCCCCACCCCCCACCCCCCATTGCTATCGGGAGTGAATTTCTTGCAATATCCCCGAGACTCACATGGGAGGATGCAATTTAGTGGAAAGCTCTATTTCCATGGAGTTAAACCCTGAGTCCTGAAGTCCCATTTCCCGCTGCCCCACCATAGCGTGTAGCTGGGCTTCAGCAGAGCTAGAGTCCGAGCCGGTGCCTGCAGTCTCCTTCCCTGTTGGAGCCGGGTCCAGTCCAGCGTCCGGCCAGCTCAGCTGTGTTTCCCACTGCAGTTCCGGGTCTGCTGCGTGTGAGGTCTGCATGGCTGCGGGCCACAGGCCATGGAGCGAATGCAAGGACGCAGGACAACAGAGCCCACAAGCCAGGCGTCACTAAGCCAAGAGTACGAGAGAGAGAGAGAGAGAGAGAGAGAGAGAGAGAGAGAGAGAGATCCTTTGTTTGGATGGTGTGTTCCCAAATTCTCACACCCTTGCCGTGGCCACGCCCTTTCTGGCCAATGGTTTCTGTTCCCAGGTGTAACTGACAGAAAACTACCTTCCCGCCCTGGCCGGTGTGGCTCAGTGGACAGAGCGTCAGCCTGCGGACTGAAGGGTCCTGGTTCGATTCCAGTCAAGGGTACATGCCTTGGTTGCGGGCTGGATCCTCAGTAGAGGGCTTGCAAGAGGCAGCCGATCAATGATTCTCTCTCATCATGGATGTTTCTATCGCTCTATCCCCCTCCTTTCCTCTCTGAAATCAATAAAAATATATATATTAAAAGAGAGAGAACGTTTATAACATCACAGATATGGAAGAAGTAATTTGTAGAAGACATGGGCTTAGGAGACAAGTTATAGAGGCAAAGGAAGGGCCCTTGGAGCTTAGCAGTGAGGAAGGTGAAGGTGCCGTGCCTGGAGAGATGGGGAGGGAGAGGGGGAACGAAAAGGCGTGGCCTGCTCCTAGGAGGGAGGGCCAAGATGCCTTCTCTCTTAGGCTGCATGATATTCCTCTGAATACATGTACCGATCTGACCTCTCCTTTAACCTGCGAAGGACACCTGGGCTGCTCCCAGGTCTTGGCTATTCTGAATAACACTGCTGTGAACATGAGTCCTATATCTTTTTGAATTAATACTTTTTCTTCAGATAAATACTCAGAAGTAGGGCCTGGCTGGGTGGCTCTGTTGGTGCGAGCGTCGTCCCGTACACCAAAAGGTTGCGGGTTCAGTTCCTGGTCAGGGCATGTACCTGGGTTGCGGGTTCAACCCCCAGTCGGGACACATGAGGGAGGCATCCTATCGATGTTTCTCTCTCACATCGAATTTTTTTTAATCTCTTTCTCTCCCTCCCTCTTTCTCTAAAAATCAATGAAAACATATTCTCAGGTGAGGATTAAAAAAAATTCAGTCCTGCCAGTGTGCTCAATGGTTAGAGTGTTGGCCCACGAACCAAAGGGTCGAGGGTTTGAATCTCGGTCAAGGGCATATACTTGGGTTGTGGTTTGCTCCCCACCCCTGGTCAGGGAGCGTGGGGGAGGCAACCAGTTGATGTGTCTCTCTCACATTGATGTTTCCCTCTCTCTCTCTTATCCTCCCCCAACCTCCACTCTCTGA